TTAGGATTGACTGATTTGATCTCCTTGCAGTCCAAGGGACTCTCAAGAATCTTCTCCAACAACAGTTTGAAAGCATCAATTCTTCTGTGCTTAGCCTTGCTCATAGTTTAACTCTCACAACCATACTTTATTGTGGGGAAAACCGTAGCTTTAACAATACAGACCTTTGTTGGCAAGATGATGTCTCTACTTTTTAATATGCTGTCTAGGTTTGCCATAGTGTTCCTTCCAAGGAGCAAGTGTCTTTTAATTTCATGGCTGGAGTCGCCATCTGCAGTGATCTTGGAACCAAAGAAAATAAAATCTGTCACTGCTTCCATTTCTGTATTTAAAAAAAATTAAACTACATTTTAGGCTTTCACTGCATGCTGAATCTAAAACCATTTTTAAAGCAGAATCACAAAAAGGATCCTGGTCCATCTTAGCAATTCATATTGCTGAATTATAGCTAAGCAAGCTTAATGCTGCTGACTTAACGATTAACTGATTAAAGCTGGTGGGAAGGAAATTCATGCTTCAGAAGAGAAGTAATGGAAGCAGCCTGTATTCCACCAGTGACTTCACTGTTTAATGAAATATATTTTCTTTATTTCCTTTTTGATAAGGAAGCCCTAATGGTATTGCATTTAATGCATCTCTCCTTAGTTGGACAATTCTAGTGCTTTGGGGAATAATTAGTATGCAATTCTTAATCCCAACATCATTTTTAACACATTGCTGGGCTATAGATCATGCTGATGTAATGTAAACATCAGAATATTAGGAATTCCCAAATAAATGATTTTTTAAATGAATGTTCATTGCAAAATCAAATGTTTTGCTTATCTATATAGATTAGTGTATGACCCAATGTGCAATTGAAAAATACCAAGGCTATTTAAAAAAAGAATGGCAAGTAAACTGTCCTTGATTTGATGACTTAGTTTTCTCCCAACTTATTCAACTATAATTTCACACAGTTCTTTGTAGAGAAAACTGTCATTTTCTTTTCTACATAAAGGTTTTGTCCATGTTGCCTTTTATTGATTTTAAGGAGTCACTTTTGGAAAAGGATATAAAAGATTTTTGCAAATTTAAATTTGTTTCTCTTGATGGAGAAAAATTTATAAAAGAGGTAGATTTTGCCATATGTCTTAACATTGCTTGAATTCCAGGCACTTGCATTCCTGAGGGAGCACATTCTGTAGCTAGATCCCCTCAACCCATAATGCTTTAGCTCCGGATCTCATGCATTTGTCAGGAATTCCTAAATGTCGTTGTCCCACAAGGGTGCAGCTGTCTGGTTGGGTCATGGGGATGTAGTTACAGATGTATTGGATCCTAATTAGTGTGTGTAATTTTTTGTGTAACAGGCATATTAAAGTACAGCATAGGGCAATACATTTATGATCAACCTTGCTACATAATGATTCTAGTAAAAGTATGCTCAGTGTCAGCACTAACAGGATCAGTTTCTAACTGTAACTGGAAAGCAGCCTAATCTTAGTTAAATAATTGAAATAAAGTAAACATGTAACAGCAGGTGGCAGCACCTGGCTGACCTTGGCTAGGCTTGGAAGCTAAACTAGATTGGTTCTAATTAGTATTTGGATAGGGGACCTCAAAGCAGTGTCAGGGCTGTAGTCTGGGAAGTTGAAAAAACATCCCAGAAGTCATTGGCAAACAGCTTATGTAGTGTTGCCAAGAAAACCACATGGATAGTCTTTGAGGCCACTAGGACTTGAACTAAAATCTAGGTAGGCTTTACTTTTTAGGAAGAAATATTTCTACAGAATAAAACAAACTACATTGTTAAACTATTTAAATTTTGAAATCTTTCTGTTTTAAAATCAGATTTCAAGTTATAATCAAAAAATGTATTTTCTGTGTAAAAAAATCGCACTCAATACAATAGAATTAAGTTAGGACTTTTTAGTCATTGTAGATTTAAGCGTAGTGTCAACTATTTTAGGAACTTGAATAGCTTACTCAAATGGAAGGATCAATGTAAATACCTTACAATATTTTTATGCCTTCAGTTATAAGATGTAAATTCTTTTTAGAATAACCAGTCTTAATCCTTGGGTTCCATCTTTTATTGGAGAATCTTGGCCAATAAGGCAATATTCCAGGACTTAAAAATAATTCTCAATAGCACAAGTCGCTTCAGGATTTTGCTCAAATAATTTTCTTTTCTCCCTGCAATATGAGTTTATCACTGAACCAAGCACATTAGCTACATCATCATTTTTTGCAGAATCACCTTCCTAAGTAACCACCATTAGGATTTTGTTTGTTGCTGTTGAGTCAATTTTGGTAAAAGCCCATTTTTCAGAAGAATTTTGTCATTGCCTTCTTCCTAAAGTGAGCGCTGGTTTTGTGTCCAAGGCAGGACTAAACTCATGGTTGTCTGGTTTCTAAACCTTTCTAATCCCTTAGTCATGGCACCAAACTGGCTGTCAGTGACTTATAGATCCTCAGTTTACTATCTTTCATTTGTTCAGCAATCAGTCAAAGTTACAATGGTGCTGACCAAACAATGACCGGTCCTTAAAGTTTGGGTTTTTGCAGTGCTCCCATGGTCACATGAACACAATTTGGCCAGTTGGCAACCAGCTCAAACATATGACCAGTTGCAGCATCCCATAGTCATGTGATTACCATTTGTGATCTTTCTTGCTAGCAAAGTCAATGGGAAAGCCTGCAGGGAAAGTTGCAAGTAATATCCCTCACTTATCCTGACATTTCTTCACTAGCACACACCACGCTTCTTTCCCCCCTGTGTTCACCTACACCCACATTCTCTTTCCTACTTGCACACATTGCATGCTCACGTGTACCTGGCACTTTCTTGCCTGCACAGATGCATGATCTCTGTACCTTCTTTCCCTAGCCTACCTGTTCTTGTCCCACGCCCTCCCCTCCCCCAAGTTGGCTCAAACTACTCTTTGTAGCTGTCAACACATACCTTGATAAATTGTGATTTTTAAAAAAACCTTATTTGTTCTGGAAAGATTCCTAGAGAGAAAAATGGAGGTTTCAATTTTATTTTTAAATTTCTTTGAATAATGCTGTGTATTTCTTTACAGTACTTTTGAATGTTTTTTAATGACTACCACATAGAATAACAGGTTGCTTTGGTATTGTAATGTTTCCAACATGTATTATTCTATGATTTATCAATTTTTGAGATTTGTACCAGCATGGGATAGTAGTTAAGCATCAGGCTAGAAACTGGAACACCATGAGTTCTAATCTTACCTTAGGCAGAAAGCCAGCTGGATGACTGTGGTCCAGTCACTTTTTCTCTGCTCTAGGAAGGCAGCAATGGCAAATCATTTTTGGAAATCCTTGCCAAGAAAACTGCAGGGACTTTTTCAGGCAGTATCCAAGAATCAGACATGATTAAGTGGAAGGCGAAAGAACTATCAAATGTAAACATTTTTGATCAATTTTGTTAAATTATAGGCTGGGGTATTGTATTGATTTTTTCTCCATGTTTTTCCATTGTTGTAATGTATAGTAATTATTTCTTTAAAAATCTGCATCTACTTTATCATAAAACCTTTTACTTCTTCTATCTTGCTATTATTTTAATAGTAACTTACAGATATGTTTTAATAGATATGTATCTACATTTCAAATTCTATAATTTGTGTTTAAAACCCTCTGTTCTTAAGGTCACTTTTTATTCTTCCAGAAGTTTGTGAAAACATCAGCTACAGATAACTTTGGGCTTTGGCAGATAATTCTTTCTGCATCTTTAGCCTATTTCTTTTTCAAACATGATTCTCATTGAGTTTTCCTTAGCAAGATTTATTAAAGTGCAAGGAATAGTGGAACAGCTTGCCTCCAGAAGTTGTGAATGCCCCAACACTGGAAGTCTTTAAGAAGATGTTGGATAGCCATTTGTCTGAAACGGTATAGGGTTTCCTGCCTATGCAGGGGGTTGGACTAGAAGACCTCCAAGGCCCCTTCCAACTCTGCTATTGTATTGTATTGAATAGGAAAATAAGAATTTCAACAGTTGAACTGTTCTCAGTTTGGTACCAGTACAGCTCTGTGTATATTTAGGTGAAAATTGTCTGATTCCTCTATGTAGTTTTTCCACAAACTAGTAAACAGTCAGATTTCTTCAGTGGTATTGGGGAAATTAGCAGCTGGTTATTCACGTAACTATCTCTTGAAACTTTATCAGTCTGGGAACCAACTTTTACAGCACCTGTGCTATTCAGCATCTATAGGAAACTGCTGAGGAAGTCATGTGGGCCTTTAGAATTGGATGTTATTTATATGTGGATGACAAAGGTTTAACTGCTCTTTGCATCAAATTGTAAGGGAGTAGTCACTACTACTAAGCATTACTTAGATTTGTTAATGGACTAGATTACGAAGAGCAGAAACAGAGGTGCTGCTGTCAGTAGGAAAGTAGTTGGGATTTAGGTTCAGCCAATTTGGGTTGATTTAGAGCAGGGCTGTCAAACTCCCGGCCTGCAGGCTGGATGCGTCATGCCCATTTTAGCAAAGGCGGGGGGGAGTCTTGATACGTTACGTGATGCTGCCATGATGACATGAGTTTGACGCCCCTGGTTTGGAGGTAGGCCAAGTTAGGAAAGAGACATCACAAGAATTACAGCAATTCTATTTTACTGTTTTGGAATATAGCAACAGAATCCTGAAAGGCTGAAGAGTTCTTTATATCCTCGCCTATATCAACCAGATGTGAGAGGTTATTTTGGGTGTGTTTTTCACATTTTTCAGGAGTGAGTTACTGTATCTTTCCCTTAAGAGCTTGTCCATTCTTTCCTAAAGTTTATTTGTACATTATTTATGTTAATGTATTTTAGTATTGATTTATTTTTAAACTTATTCTGTGTTAATCTGCCTTAAGTACTCATTGAGTTGAAAGCTGAGATATAAATCAAATACATCGCTAGTTCCAATTTAAAAAGATACAAAAATGACCTAATGTTTGCACCTACTTTGCTGATTTTTAACAAATAATTTAAAAAATATTTTAGGATGACCATGAAAGTTGTGGTTCCAGTTCAACAAACCGTAGTACTACAGAAGGTTCAAAAACGACAGTGAAACCAAGAAAAATTCAACACACTTCTCCTGATCCTGATTTGCCACCAGGTGATTTGCCATATAAATATTGTATTTGGGTACTTAATAACTGTTGTGGAAAAAGGGTAGGAGATATAAGATTTGTAGAAGGCCCTTTGAGTTTCCACACTATGTCCCAAATTTGAATAGAAAGTTTTTGTGGGGACATTTGTCACTGCCTTGGAATTTCTGCTTTGTTATTAAAATTAAGTAGAAATAAACTTGAAAAATCAGTGGTTGATCTATTTTTGTTGGACATTGAGAAGTAGCCCTTGTTTCATAACCACAATTGGAACTTGCAACTCTGTTACTCAGCAAAGCGGTGAAACTGCAACTGCACTTATGATCTTACTTTCGCTTTCCTTTGTTTTGCAGGCAAGTGCAAGGATTGGTTGTAAAAATGGCTTTTCTATCACCGTTGTAATTGTGAATGGTCACTAAACAAAGCAGTTGCTAAATGAGGACATGAAGCAATTTTAAGGCATCAACTTATTGCAAAGACTTGTTTTTAAATAACACTCAGTTTTTTAGGGTGTTAATTTTCTAAAAGGCAATCTAGGCCCACTTTCTCACTAGAGTTTTGTAGCATCTCCTACAAATTACTGAGCCATCATTGTAGCAATATAAAGCCTATCCTCATTGTTATATTGGCACAATTGTAGTTTGATAATGCAGTAATTGCTATAAATCACTAATAAGGGACTAGCACAGTGTCTCAACATTCTTTCTGTAGCATTAGAGGGTGCATGAGTTAGGGTGCACAGAGGAAGATGTATGTAAGAAGTATTTCTTGGAAATGGAGATTGACATGCAGGTCTATGTTTTTTCTTATGTAAAACATCAGTAGACCAGTTTTTGCCCCTTATTCGTTCATTTGTGATATTTAAACTAACTTTCACTGGATAATAATTATCTACTGATTTGGGGAGAATGCCCGTTTTATTTGATATTTATAATTACTGAAGATCAAAGACCAGAAAAGTTGATAGCATTTGTTTTATTTAAAAGCTTTTCGTTGGATTGTCAAATTTAAACAAAGTTATTTTGTTTTAAGCAGCTCGCCGATGGAGTTCCCAAATTAATAAAAAACTGACCATCTTCATGTTTCCTTCTTAGGTTATGTACAAAGTTTGATTTGGCGGGTTATAAACAACGTCAACATCATCATTAACAACCTCATACTCAAATATGTGGAGGATGACATTGTTCTTTCTGTTAATATTACTTCTGCGGAATGTTACACAGTAGATGAATTTTGGGATCGAGCCTTTATGGATATATCAGGTAATCTGTAAGTCATAACTTTCTGCCAGACTTAAAAAAAAACAGCTCACTGTCTTAAGTTAAGGACACTGGGAAATGTTTGTTCTAGTGACTAATAAGGGAACCATGACAGGTAAGTGGGTTCTGTGAAACTTACCAGAGAGATTAGTCCTGACTGGACATAGGAAACATCAGACCAGCTAGTTTTGTGGATAAGATAACCTTTTGTATTTCCTTATTTTGTCCTTAGAACAAGAAACACAGCTTTTTGAGGGAGTAGGGGAGTTGAGCCTTCCAGATTCTACAGTTACTTATTGAAATGGATACCAAGCAGCAGGGTGTAATTGGGAACCAGGTGTTATTTTTTATATGGATGATAAAAAAATTCTGGGATATAAAGAACTGTTGCTGGAATTGGGTTTGTCTAGTCTAGTGAAAAAAAGGACTAGGGGTGGCATGATAGCAGTGCTCCAATTTCTAAAGGTTGCCACACCTAACATAACAATTAATCAGTGGAAAGACTTGCCTCCGGAAGTTGTGCATGCGCCAACACTCGAAGTTTTTACAAAGAGATTGGACAACAATTTGTCTGAAATGGTATAGGGTTTCCTGCGTGAGCAGGGGGTTAGGCTAGAAGACCTCCAAGGTCCCTTCCAACTCTGTTATTCTGTTATATATCAAAGAAGCATACATAATCTGTGTGGTTGCTGGAACCTTTCCAAAAGTGAATATGTGTTGTTATTTTTAATGTGAAAGGAGGAGAGTTATTTCATACATCAAGAGTAATTGCACATTTATTTTAAAAGAAAGATAAGGCAAATTTAGTTTTCATACTGGTATTATCCATTGTATATTTTTTGTTCCATGCACCTCCCGTTTTGAAGCGTTATTTCCAATGTCCCAATCAACGGTTGGGTGTTATTTACAAAAAAGTTTATTCAGTCTTGCCATGTATGGTTCTTTCCCTATTAAGCAGAATATAAATAATCATACAATATTTGTTTTGTCTTGTTATTAAAATGGAACAATATTTTTCTTTCTTTTCATAGCAACTGATTTGGTACTAAGGAAAGTGATAAACTTTTCTGATTGTACAGTTTGTCTAGACAAGAGGAATGCTAGTGGCAAAATTGAATTTTATCAAGATCCTCTGCTATACAAGTGTTCATTTAGAACTCGCTTGCACTTCACTTATGATAATCTTAATTCTAAAATGCCGTCCATTATTAAAGTAAGTAGATTTCCTGATAATTGAGTCATATATTCTTGAAAATCCCAAAACAGATAATTGAAGTTTTTTTGAGGCACATTTATGATGAAACAAAAAAATATATGAGAGTTGTGTTCTGATCCATGACTAGAACTTAAGTTTCAGGAATTTCTGAATTAAGTATTAACTTTATCCATGTACAATGATGTTACTCTTTGAAATTCTGGACGCTTTATTTCTTTCTTGATATTGGCATGACTATGGTTAATAGAAAAAATATAACTAAAGGGGAAAAATCACATAATTTGCAGTTCAGAATATTTTTCTGAAGTATTTTATTTTAATCTTATGTCAAGGTGACATATCTTAATATGTATCTTGGGACCAGCATCATCAGCTAAATCCAAGAGTCAATAGCACCATATATGTTTGGAAATTTATCCTATTTCTGACATAAAACTGAGGAAGCTCCGTAACTTTATCTATATTGAAGTTGTTTCCAGATGTGGACTTGTGTGTTGTAATTCATCTATCCCTATGTGCAGTTAATTTTACTAGTATTATTGATGCCACATGCTGTAATAAGCAGTTGTTTTGTGCATAATTTATTCAGTAGCATGTGGTTTCAGTCTTCTAATGCAGGCTACCAATTCAACATAAAGGACATTTAAAGCTGTTCAGTGTAACTTCAATTTATTAGCTATAACAAATTTCAAACAGGCTTGACTCTAGAACTGAAGATTAATATTCAGAAATATTGGATCACTATCAACAAATTATTTTTTTTTAGGTAGTGGCCATTTCCTATGGAATTCTGAGCTGTATTCTCTCCAAGTAGCTTTTCCAATTTAGAATGTGTACTTTATTATCCAAAATGTTTCAGAACAGGGTATTAAAGGTATTGGTTAGATCATAGACTTTACTTTTTTGAACTAATGCTAGCTTTAATTATTTTTTATCAGACCTATTAAAGATAAAATATTTTCTTTCAGAATTGAGTCTGTTATGTCTATTTTACTAAAAATAAAAGTTTATATTCGTTTGGTTCCGAAGTTGTTTTGCATGAGAAGATAGAGACTTACCCAAGACAACCCCACTGAACCTTTAATTTTTCTCTCCTATGCTATCTATGTCTGTCAGTCTTCAGATGCTTCTTAAGCATGAATGTTGGAATCTGATCAGTTTTATTATGTGCTCTTCTCTGTACTTGCAGGTTCATACTTTAGTTGAAAGTCTGAAGCTTTCTATTACTGATCAACAGCTTCCTATGTTTATCCGTATAATGCAGCTTGTAATTTCACTGTACTATGGAGAAATTGGTAATGTTAAAGATGGAGAAAGTGAAGACCCTGTTTGTCACACCAAGGATATCTTGGGTAATATCTCAGGTAATAAGAAAGAATCTGACTTTGAAACAGATTGTTCACTTCTATAAAACTCCAAAGAGCCTATTTTTAAGGTGGAATGTTCCATAAGCAGTGGCTAAGATGCTGAACTTGTCGATCAGAAAGGTCGGCAGTTTGGCAGTTCGAATCTCTAATGCTGAGTAATGGAGTGAGCTCTCGTTACTTGTCCCAGCTTCTGCCAACCTAGCAGTTCGAAAGCATGTAAAAAATGCAATTAGAAAAAATAGGAACCACCTTTGGTGGGAAGGAAACAGCATTCCGTGCACTTTCGTTGTTTAGTCTTGCTCCATTACCATGGAAACGTCTTTGGATAGCCCTGGCTCTTCGGCTTTGAAACGGAGATAAGCACCACCCCCTACTGTCAGGAATGACTAGCACATATGTGCGAGGGGAACCTTCACATTTACCTTTATTTATTAGGATTTAAATATTAAGCAATAATTTGATTTGATTTATAACAAAATCTGTTTTATGAAGTCTTGCACAGAAACATTTTTTATTAAAAGCAATTTTATCTTCTAAAAGCAATTAGTGGAAATGCATTTTCTATGAGATATGCATCTTTTCAGGAAACCTTACTGAGGCCATGAAAGTATATTTAAAACTGATTGCTACCTTATTGAGTCTTCCACAGATCTTAGGCTGGTTCAAAGAGTCACATTAATATTTTATAATAAGATACAAAAAGAGTATGTGTAGAATAAATCTATTCAGGTGATTTAGATTCTCCTATTATTACTCCTAATTTAGTAATAATTGATTGAGAAGAAATTACCTTAAACTGTATTTACTACTATATTTGGTAGCTTTATTTAATGTAGGTTAGCATTAATAGAATTTCCTTCTTAATCTGAACACACTTTAGATTATTTACTTTATTTCTCATTCATGTGTAATGATACAAAAGGCGATGTGAAAGCATACTAACATTAATAACTTGCTTTAACTAGCCATCTATGAGAGCCCTTGGTGCTCTCTGAGCTTGCTTGTTTTCTTGCAGATGTTTCAGTACCCGGTACCTTAGCACTGATGATGTTACCTAGTTTGAATATTGAAACATCTGCAAGAAAACAAACAAACCCAGACAGCACCAAGGAACTCCTCATTTTAATTCTGAGCTACAGACATTCTCCTTTATTGCATCTGTGATAGATGTAGAAAAAGAAATTTACAATTTAATTCAGATACAGTATGTGTACCTATATTACAAAGCAATTAGTAAATGTTGGATAATTTGAGAATAGAGAAAGATGGTTTTTTTTAGGTTAGATAACATCAAAATAACATTAAAATGGATATGGGTTGAAAAGAGACAATATAATGAAACGGGCAAGTATATTTGAGAAATGCTATTGAAGTATCTGTGTAGTGAAGTTACTGATATCTGGGTTTAGTGATCTTAATTTTTTTTAACTCTTGATTTTTTAAAATATAACCGTAGATAGGTAATAATCACTAAAGAGCATTTTAGAGTGCAGTGCAGTATAAATTGAGAATAGGTGTCAAAGTTATGTCATTTCTGCCCCTTAAAAGTAATTGCGTTACTTTTATGCAAACATCTGAGCCTATTTACAGTGAAAGTGAAACTTATATCATTGAGTAGCCAAGTTTAACCACTTTAGCTGTTGTGTGGCTTTCATTAGATTACTGTAGGAAGCAGAGCTGTTTTGCTTTTATTGTACTGATTTGGACGAAAAGAATGATAAACTCTGTGTTAGGTCCATGTGGATTTGTTTCCATTATTTTTATTGGATTTATATGACAGCCTCAGAACATACCACCTACAAAGCTATTCGTTATTTCTTCTATTATTTAAATGAAAAATTAAACATAAGTGCCCCATCTCTTTAATAAGGAAGTTTATTATAACAACACACACACACAAAACTGTTTCTCATTGAGCTCTTTGTGTTATTTCACTTTATAATGAACTTCTCATACTTGGAATAACAGCATGGAGCACTGACTTTGAAGGATTGTAATTACATATTCTTGCCTGATTCTATTAATATAGAGTAGTAGTTAGCACAATTAAACATGAGGTTATAAAATGGGCGTGATCAAATATAAAATCAATTTACCCGTCTTTTATCCCAAAACATTAATTCTCTCCATAGAAATTGTTTACTTTTCCTTACTGATCATTCATTTTGTATTCAGTTCGTATTCACATATATTTGTTCTTGACCCTTCTCTTCTTCTCCGCATATAGTACTTCAGTATTCTATGACTACTACATTTAACTTTTATGTTTCTCTTATGTAAGGCTGCTTTTGAAGACATCCAGAAACTGCAGTAGGAGCAGCATGCACTGACCGGGAATGCTTGTGTATTATCAAGCATTCCTCACCCTCAGCATATTGTACTTGTATTGAGAGCCAAAGACATTGGGAGTTTTAATATTTTATGATTCTGTATTGTTATTTCCTATGTAGTAAAGTGGGGTTTTTGAGAATATGGCAGTACACAAAGATAGATAAATAGACAGACAGACAGACAGTCAGTCAGTAGAAGAACACACCGATTTCTTATGGAAAAGAACTCATTCCTTACAAGAGAGGTTTAGCTGTAAATACACTATATTGCCAAAAGTATTTGCTCACCCATCCACATAATCAGACACAGTTGTGAGCGAATACTTTGGGCAATATAGTGTACATTAAACAACCAAAGTGCATACTAAATAAATAAAGTGGCTCATTTATTTTCATATGTATTTTATTTTCATCACGTACATTGATTGATTGATTGATTGATTGATTGATTGATTGATTGATTGATTCACTCACTCACAGGACTGATATGGCTGCCTGTCTCACATAATGAATCTAGGCGGCTCATAGCAATCCATAAAAATGTGCTAAAAGCTCCAAGCACCCATCACATTTAACAACCAGCTTCATTTCACCCAAACATTCTGTAATTCAAGTATTCGCTTTGTGGTAGGATTTCTCTGAATTAAGTAATATACCATCACTTTCTCACTTTCATTCATTTCTCAGTGATTTGCTAAAGAGCAAAAATCTGGTTGTATATTTCCCCTGAAGCAAAAAGTTGAAGTGTGCTTTTCATATTTTGCCCATTGTCACTTCACTTCTGTCAAGTATCTTCCTAGATATATTTAACAAACTAATTCAAAACTAATTTTGCACTTACTCTTTTTACTCTTCATTTGTATAGGAAAATATTGTTGCTATTCTTAAAATTATCTAGCCCAGAGTCAATCTTCATGCCATATTAAACAATTCTCATGATCATTTTGTAAATAAACTCAATTCAGATTATAACATTTCTCCAATTATACTATCCCTACATGCAGCCCTATCGTTTTTGAACATTCTGGCAATATTTAGGCATTCCTTTTCATTATTTTTCCTCAAATAAATGCTAACATTCATAGCATTTGTTTCAATTCCACTTTGTTATATTTAATTTTATTTACAATATTTATGATTCACCCAAATCTACAATTACTCTGGGCATGCTTACAAATAAATTATATACAGCCAAGAAAAATAAAAGAAACAGTTATGTAATTATAGCAAACAATAATAAACCAGAACCCAAGACCTACTGAAACTATACTGTACTTGTTTTCTAAATGCAAGCAGGATAGTCACGTGGCCTTCTGAGGAGAAGACGTTCTAGAGATGATATTATCATTCCCATATAAATCTTTAAAATATATCTTCCAATAACTCCTCACTTCAATTTAATCTCAAATTATTTCATCGTTTTAAAAAATCCATTCAGTCATATCCATACCTAGCCAGACAACCTAGACAGCCATATATCCTTTTTGTAATCTATAACTCAAGTCCTGCTTTTTAATACCTCATAGAAGACACTATGTGGGCCCATAGATAACTATTACCTGGTATTGTTGCTGCTGTTGTTGGTAGCGCATGGCATTGTTACATTAGCCAGGAGACCACAATGCTATTGCAGAACAGTAGTTCGGCTGCCAATTTACCAGTTCTATTGTAGGAAACACTTGTATGCTTCCCAAGGTGCGCCACAGGAGGACAAGCTGGCATTGCATCAGAAAGAAAGATGAGCGGCTTTTCCTGCAGCATCATCCAAAGCTCCCTCCCTCCCCAGAGCCGCCTCACGAATGGGCGTTGCAACTGGAAAAGGTTCAGAGCTGGCGGAAATCTGACTGTCTGCACGGAGCACCAGCTCTTCTTCCCACCAAAGTAGTACCTATTTACTACCTACATCTAACATGCTTTCAAACTGTTATGTGGACAGAAGCTGAGACAAGTGACAGGAGCTCACTCTGCCAGGCAGTTCTAGGACTTGAATTGCTGGAGCAGAGACCATTTCCAGTGTATTAAGCCACTGAGCCACCATGCCTCTAAAACTGATATTTGCTGTCTTCATGGCTTTAGACACATTAAAATGAAAGTTGTCTGAATGGCCTTAAACGTGTCTTAGATACATTTCTTGCTTATAGTAAAGAGAGTGCAGGCCAGATTGGGCCAATATGCCCAAAGACAACCAGTCTTATTTTACTCTATGCAATCCACCTCATGTAAAACATCTGAACTAAAGTCTTATTTTCTTAGCCAGTCAACATCATACAAATTAGGAGTTAAATGCAATATACAGACACTTATTCAGATCCTTATAATGTAAGTATTGTAACTTAAGTGGTATATTAATTTAACTCTATCCAAGGACATTGGGGATATAGGTGTGAATGTGGCTACAAAGCACCTCATTTGGTAAGGGGAAAATAGTTACAATTTATAGCATATAAAATGATAATACAGAAAATGAGATTATTTTTGTTTTAGGAAGTTGGAAAGTTGTAAATTCCTAGCATAGGAAAATTCCAAGTTTGAGTCTCCTTAAGAAACCTTTCCATTGCAATGCAGTTTTAAAATAGCATCTACTTTAGGATAATGTTTTCAGCTGTTTAACAATACAAGTGTTACATATTTCCTTGAAGTTAGGAAGTAAGGTTGAAAAAAGTGTGAGGTTTTTTTTTTAGGAGGGGGAGGCAATTCTTTTTCAAACTAATCAGGGCGCAAATTGCCAGTTCATGATAGCAATATTAGTATTACTATCTGCAAACTCACTATTCCAGGTTTAAATAAGTAGATTGGTTCTATCTAATCTTTGTGCCCATTCAAATTCTTATCTTTAAACAGGTTTTATAGATAGATTTTTAAATTTAAATTGATGTTGCTCATATATAACAAAAGTGTTATATATGAACAACAAAAGCCATTTTAAACATATATGAATATATATTTTAATTATATAAAATACATAAACTACAATCCTTAATTGTACAATGCATTTGGAAATGGATATTTTATGAATATATTCACTTCAGCAAACAATAAAATTAAATCTTCTCCATGTTAATTATGACAAGACATTTAATATATTCAGGCAAGAAAAAATCTTTTCTTCTACAGAGATAAATACAAATTGGCTAAAATTGCATTGTTAGCTAGCTTTGTTCCTTTTTGTTTTAAGGTGCAGAAGATGAAATAGGCAAAGACATTTCTCCAGAATTTTATATCCCACAAGACGATGATCAACAGCAAGGATGGGTGTCCTGGGCCTGGTCATTTGTACCGGCTATTGTGGGCACTGATGATGAAGGTAGAGATGATGTTGGAGAGGATGATGGAACGATGAACCAACAGAAAAGTCCAATCATTAAGGATCCCATTGTTTCCATAGGATTTTATTGCACAAAGGCAACAATCACTTTCAAAGCAAGTATTTCATTTTTTAATACAAGTATACTTTCAATTGTATTTAATTGAGTGATGAATCAAGCACAGTAAATACAAACAATATCACACAAATTCTAATACTGGGATAAAATGTATATAAAATGTATTTTTAGATGAATACAATAGCAATCCTTCTGTAGTATATGTAGCATGCAACCTGTATGCATCCATTCAAATTTAACTCCATAAAATTCAGTGAGAGGTACTCCTGTGTAAGAAAATAGTACTGAATACGTCTTATTTGATTTGAAGAGAATTTATGTAGCTTAGGATTGAACTGTGGAGTTATTGATGCTCTCTAAGTTTGGTTGTTGTAGTTGTTAGGTCATCTCTGCCCTTTTAGTGTGCTGCATTTTGCTGACTACCCTGCTGCCCTCTACTATCCATAAATGACCTTCACCATCTTTTTCCTTCTGCTGCTGGCCTAGTATACAGGTGCTGGGTGAGGATGCAGCCCTGGGAAGTGTGCACTGTGCAGTGAGTATGACAGGGTTGCAGAGCCTCACCTGCCAAAAGGAGCTTGCCAGACTAGCCGAGGAGGAGACAACATGATAGGGAGGTGTGCAACAAGTGTCCACCCTATAAAAATTGATAAGGTTCATTGCACTAACCTATGACAAAGACCCCAAAACAGGATCAAGCAACTGAGATATAATAAATGAAGAAGGAATGTAAGCACTTTGGGGGGCAGGGAGAGCTTTAATTTTCTGTAGTTTTAGTTAGTTATTTATTGCTTCCTGAACATTTATGACATTATACATACTTCTTTGTTTTCTCTGTTAGTAATCCTCTGACAGAATTAGTCAAATATCCCAAATTATCTATTAAATCACAGTGTTAAATGAAGACCTGAACCTAGGCTTTGTTGGCACAAAATTGTTATTGCTACATTTGATCTGTAAGAGTGATGGCTAACATTTTTGTCACTCTGTGCTGAAAGCAAGGTGTGTGTGACCCCCTGTGTGACCCACCCCCCCACATGCACACGCGATCCCTCTGTGCTTCCCCACCCCCACATGTGCCCTGCCTTGCAAATGCGTGCATGACTCTCTGCATGTGCCCGACCCCCTGTGCATGCACGTGTGTCTCCCACATGTGCCCCACCCCCTGCTCTTGCACAGCAGAAACCCAAAAACCAGCTGGCCGGCAGGAGCCGCACGCACATGCGCAGTGGAGCTGAGCTGGGGCAATGGCTCACGTGCCCACAGAGAGGGTTCTGCATACAACCTGTGGCACACGTGGCATAGGTTCGCCATCACAGATCTATAACATCTATGTTACCAATTATTTTCTCTGTTACGAAATAAAAATCATGGAGTACTTAGTGCTCTCTGAGCTTAGTTGTTTACTTGCAAGCATTTCACTTCCCAACTTGATAACATCATCAGTGCTTAAAATCAGAGCCCAGGTATCATCCATCATAAGTGAGCATGGATGATATTATCTAGTTTGGTAATGAAACATTGGCAGGGCAGGTGCCACAGTCTACCTTCTCCCAGGGTGAAGGTGGAGACTGTGTGGGAAGTGTTCTTTGGAATGGCAGCAGAACTGGAAGAAGCGTAGTGATGCAGACTTCTCAGATACGCAGTGTGCACTATGCAGCTTGTATTGGAACCCTCCTGGAAAACCAGAGGGTTCAGCAAGGAGTAGAGGTGAGCCCAGCACTAACAGTTCATCTGTGGTAAGATGGGCAGCCAGTACATTTTTACAAACAAATAAATAAGCCTACCCATTGGTCCTCTGCTTGCTTTTTCTCCAGTCTTCTTGCAAAAGCTCACAAATGGCCAGCAACTTCCAACATGCACTTCATAGTGTGTGTCAGAAGTATACCAGGAGAACAGATCAGCGGGGCTTCAGCAAGGAGTAGAGGTGAGACCAGCTTTGGCAGAACTTACCCACAGATCCTCTACTTGCTCTCAGCCCAGCTTTCCTCCTGCAAAGCCTCATAAATGGCCAGCAGCTTCCGATGCGCTGTAGGCTTCTACAGTCCTTGCAACTCCTTACACTTCTTCCAGTTCTGCCACCACCCCACATGGTGTCTCCCAACAACTTCCACCTTTATCTCATGAACTGCCACTCTCCCCTACTTCACACAGCATTGTGCCTCACTGTCCTGCTTGCTACTCCCCAGCTGGGCCTGGCAAGCTCCCTTCATCAGGTAAGGCTCCATCATCCACTGTGTTCACTGTGTGCATCTCAGGGCTGCACCCTCCAACTGCCTGGATCCTGGGCCAAGATCAGGTGAAGGTCAACTGGAGGCAGCAGTAGCAAGGGGATATCAGGGATATAGTATGTGGTAGAGTGCAGGGCACTCAGAAAGGCAGAGATGGGGTGATGTGTGTGTGTGTGTGTGTGAGTGCTCCAGCAGTAGTAAATATGGGCGGATTGCAAAGAATCTGAATTCACGTAGCCTGTGGGTGCTGCAATGGCGTATCTTTGGGAACTGGGTGCAAGTCTTTAATTCAGTGTTGCTTTGACTTCAAACAGCTAGTGAATGAATGATAATAAGTCAACTACAACTCCTTAACCATTTTAGCTATTCTTGTACATTTCCCTGCATTAAAATAATTTAACCATATTGCAAAATTGTTAATATTACATTTCTACATTATAAATGGGAATATATAAAGGTATTATGATGGCATTTAGAAGGCAAACATTAGAATCTATTGTTCTGCTTGAATGCTAAAAATGTATGGAATTAATTTGTGGTTCATATTTTGGTCAAAAATAAGGTCAGGTTTCTGCATTAGCATTCTGAGTAGCTGATACTACTCCAGCTAAAAAAAAATCATACCAAATTAAATGTAGCATTTTCCTAATAATGTCAGAAATTGTTCTTGCAATGTTTGAGTTCTTTTAATCAATTAATTGCTTTTCCTCTACAATAATTGCATACAGCTGAAGATTTTTTTCCTGTTTTACTTGAATGTTTGCCTTATGCAACTGTGCTTTAAAATGTCAACCATGTGTATACCCAGTCGGAAATGACAAAGTAATGAGAACATCTAGAAATTTTGTTTTATGAGAAAATTAAAAGAAATTATTTTGGCAGTTAAAGATGAATAGAGTGCTGGGAACAAGCAAAATATTAATCTACCTATTTTAGTGAATAATGCTAAACTTTTTAACGTGTGTGTGTGTGTGTGTGTGTGTAAAGTTGAAGTATTTTCTTATGATTTAAAGTTCATAAGGGTCAACTGAATACTTCCATCTTTTAAATTACTTCCCGTGTTATTGCAGTCTGCTTCATAACATTTGGTTTTATTCATAAACCATGTTACACCTGCATAGAGGATAATTTATTTATTTTCTTCATTTTTTATGACTGGAGAAAGTAAAAGTATTTCAATTTTTTTTCAATTGTAGCAGTGTGTAGGTTAAACTAGTGTATTTATGTCCAAGTTATTTTCTGTGTGGACAATGCATCATAGCTGTTTTAGTGTACCTGCTTCCTGCGTTATCATATTCATCAAAACTAAACTCTGTCGTCATTTTTTCTTATAGAATAATGAGATATTGCATGTATTTAATTCTAATGTTGACTAATGGTAAATTTCCTCATATTGTTACATAGCTCACTGAAATGCAAGCTGAAAGTAGTTATTACAGTCCACAGAAAGTAAAATCCAAAGAAATAATTTGCTGGCAACAAGAAGGAACTACCATTGAGGTAATTTTTCCACTATTTTTGTACAGTGTTAATTTATAGTAGAAATCTTGGCATCAGTAGTTTTTCATCAGTATTATTATTTTCAGCTGGCAGTTACAGTATTGTTTTTATATTTCTCTCTTATTGGACAGTTGTAATTATTGAAAGAAATCCATTTTTAGATTATAGCTATACTCCAGAAATAAGTATTTTCATGTCTTTCCATTACAAGTATCTTTTATTTGATTTTTTTTAAAAAAATTAAATATGGTGAGCCTACATATAAGATAATCCATAGAGCTATTAATTTCACTGTAGTATCCAGGATTGTAAATTAACTGGAAGTCAAAAACATTCCAGAAAAATGCAATGGCAAATCATGTATATTCTGTTTTCAAGAAAACTGAATACTTTTGCCTAATTTTCACCAGAAGTTGAACTCTCTGTGTGTCTTTCTTTTCTTGTTTTATTTATGTATGCATAACTAGGTGCAGGATCCCACTGTAGTTGGAATATTAACCATTGGCCATTGTTTTTATACCACATTAAATTTTCTTCCCAGGCCCTTATGAGAGGAGAACCTTTCTTTAATTGCCAAATAGGATTTGTTGGTTGCCAAGCCTTTTGCCTTAAAGGAATCATGGGAGTTAAAGATTTTGAAGACAACAAGAATAGAAGTGAATCAGTGAGTATAATTTATATTTTATTGGATCACAGACACGCTAATGTGTTAGAAAGCCTGGAAACAGTTTTAGAAATTTGTAAAAGATCCTGATTTAGATCCAGAGTGCCACGTCTTATTCTGAAAGTCAGAACAGGATTTAAGTAGTGCTTTTTAAGTAATAGAAAGTAATTTTAAAACTTTTTAAAATTAGTGACTTAGTGATTTAAGTATCAGTGAGAACAAAAATCCCAATATTGTATATATGTTCAGCTCATGAACACATCTGAAGTCCTTTTTAGGTCCCAGATTAAAAAAAGAAATGGGCAGGACCAGATGTGGGATACACTTACCTTCCCTACTGGTTTTCAAATGTGAGTGCGCGCACACATGCATATAAACACACCTCATCTGCGCATGCACACCACCTTCTGAGCATGCACAGTGCTTGCGCATTACGCTGAGGCAGGTGGGTGGAGCTTTCTGCAGCCGCTGCTACTGGTTTGCTCAAACCGGAGATAACCCGCTGAATACCACCTCTGGCAGTGCCATTCTGGTGTGTGTGTGTGTGTGTGTGTGTGTGTGTAAAGAGAGATGGGGGAAGAATGTAGATTGATAGATATAGGTATAAATATAGATATAAGTATAAATATAGATATAAGTATAGATATAAATATTAGATAGCTATAGTCTGTGTATATACACATACCATAATGATTGGGTCTTCATAACTTTGATCAAAATATTGAAATTATATAATTAATAAATGCTATTAAAGTATTTTTCCCTAAATGTCAATTTCCTGTAGTAAAAGCTCTAGCTGAGTGTGATCTGCTGTAGGAGATGTGGACTGGCTGACCAGAGGGAGGAGTCAAACATGGATTAAGTCTGGTGTCCCTATATGGGCGCAAGAAGTTAAAGAGTGACCTTCCCTGAATGCCATTAAAGTTTATTTAGTCTCACCCTCCTGCACCATCAGTCTGAAAAGATTCCTATGAACAAAAAACCAGCTAGTTGAACTCTTGAGGTGTGGGTCTGGTTGTTTATGCCTGGCATAGATGAGGTAGCATATACAGTATAATGAAGCAATTATATATTTATACAAAATTTAGGACAGAGTTGGTTTAATTTGCAAATAATGAGGTTCGCATCCAAATTTTATTTGCTGCATGGTATTTTGTGGTGATCCTAGTGAGGTATTTTATGAAATTTAAAAGAAAATACAGGTACTCCTCCACTTATGACCACAATGGAGCCCAGAATTTTGGCCATGAGTTGTTGCTGTCATATGTNTTGATTTGAAGAGAATTTATGTAGCTTAGGATTGAACTGTGGAGTTATTGATGCTCTCTAAGTTTGGTTGTTGTAGTTGTTAGGTCATCTCTGCCCTTTTAGTGTGCTGCATTTTGCTGACTACCCTGCTGCCCTCTACTATCCATAAATGACCTTCACCATCTTTTTCCTTCTGCTGCTGGCCTAGTATACAGGTGCTGGGTGAGGATGCAGCCCTGGGAAGTGTGCACTGTGCAGTGAGTATGACAGGGTTGCAGAGCCTCACCTGCCAAAAGGAGCTTGCCAGACTAGCCGAGGAGGAGACAACATGATAGGGAGGTGTGCAACAAGTGTCCACCCTATAAAAATTGATAAGGTTCATTGCACTAACCTATGACAAAGACCCCAAAACAGGATCAAGCAACTGAGATATAATAAATGAAGAAGGAATGTAAGCACTTTGGGGGGCAGGGAGAGCTTTAATTTTCTGTAGTTTTAGTTAGTTATTTATTGCTTCCTGAACATTTATGACATTATACATACTTCTTTGTTTTCTCTGTTAGTAATCCTCTGACAGAATTAGTCAAATATCCCAAATTATCTATTAAATCACAGTGTTAAATGAAGACCTGAACCTAGGCTTTGTTGGCACAAAATTGTTATTGCTACATTTGATCTGTAAGAGTGATGGCTAACATTTTTGTCACTCTGTGCTGAAAGCAAGGTGTGTGTGACCCCCTGTGTGACCCACCCCCCCACATGCACACGCGATCCCTCTGTGCTTCCCCACCCCCACATGTGCCCTGCCTTGCAAATGCGTGCATGACTCTCTGCATGTGCCCGACCCCCTGTGCATGCACGTGTGTCTCCCACATGTGCCCCACCCCCTGCTCTTGCACAGCAGAAACCCAAAAACCAGCTGGCCGGCAGGAGCCGCACGCACATGCGCAGTGGAGCTGAGCTGGGGCAATGGCTCACGTGCCCACAGAGAGGGTTCTGCATACAACCTGTGGCACACGTGGCATAGGTTCGCCATCACAGATCTATAACATCTATGTTACCAATTATTTTCTCTGTTACGAAATAAAAATCATGGAGTACTTAGTGCTCTCTGAGCTTAGTTGTTTACTTGCAAGCATTTCACTTCCCAACTTGATAACATCATCAGTGCTTAAAATCAGAGCCCAGGTATCATCCATCATAAGTGAGCATGGATGATATTATCTAGTTTGGTAATGAAACATTGGCAGGGCAGGTGCCACAGTCTACCTTCTCCCAGGGTGAAGGTGGAGACTGTGTGGGAAGTGTTCTTTGGAATGGCAGCAGAACTGGAAGAAGCGTAGTGATGCAGACTTCTCAGATACGCAGTGTGCACTATGCAGCTTGTATTGGAACCCTCCTGGAAAACCAGAGGGTTCAGCAAGGAGTAGAGGTGAGCCCAGCACTAACAGTTCATCTGTGGTAAGATGGGCAGCCAGTACATTTTTACAAACAAATAAATAAGCCTACCCATTGGTCCTCTGCTTGCTTTTTCTCCAGTCTTCTTGCAAAAGCTCACAAATGGCCAGCAACTTCCAACATGCACTTCATAGTGTGTGTCAGAAGTATACCAGGAGAACAGATCAGCGGGGCTTCAGCAAGGAGTAGAGGTGAGACCAGCTTTGGCAGAACTTACCCACAGATCCTCTACTTGCTCTCAGCCCAGCTTTCCTCCTGCAAAGCCTCATAAATGGCCAGCAGCTTCCGATGCGCTGTAGGCTTCTACAGTCCTTGCAACTCCTTACACTTCTTCCAGTTCTGCCACCACCCCACATGGTGTCTCCCAACAACTTCCACCTTTATCTCATGAACTGCCACTCTCCCCTACTTCACACAGCATTGTGCCTCACTGTCCTGCTTGCTACTCCCCAGCTGGGCCTGGCAAGCTCCCTTCATCAGGTAAGGCTCCATCATCCACTGTGTTCACTGTGTGCATCTCAGGGCTGCACCCTCCAACTGCCTGGATCCTGGGCCAAGATCAGGTGAAGGTCAACTGGAGGCAGCAGTAGCAAGGGGATATCAGGGATATAGTATGTGGTAGAGTGCAGGGCACTCAGAAAGGCAGAGATGGGGTGATGTGTGTGTGTGTGTGTGTGAGTGCTCCAGCAGTAGTAAATATGGGCGGATTGCAAAGAATCTGAATTCACGTAGCCTGTGGGTGCTGCAATGGCGTATCTTTGGGAACTGGGTGCAAGTCTTTAATTCAGTGTTGCTTTGACTTCAAACAGCTAGTGAATGAATGATAATAAGTCAACTACAACTCCTTAACCATTTTAGCTATTCTTGTACATTTCCCTGCATTAAAATAATTTAACCATATTGCAAAATTGTTAATATTACATTTCTACATTATAAATGGGAATATATAAAGGTATTATGATGGCATTTAGAAGGCAAACATTAGAATCTATTGTTCTGCTTGAATGCTAAAAATGTATGGAATTAATTTGTGGTTCATATTTTGGTCAAAAATAAGGTCAGGTTTCTGCATTAGCATTCTGAGTAGCTGATACTACTCCAGCTAAAAAAAAATCATACCAAATTAAATGTAGCATTTTCCTAATAATGTCAGAAATTGTTCTTGCAATGTTTGAGTTCTTTTAATCAATTAATTGCTTTTCCTCTACAATAATTGCATACAGCTGAAGATTTTTTTCCTGTTTTACTTGAATGTTTGCCTTATGCAACTGTGCTTTAAAATGTCAACCATGTGTATACCCAGTCGGAAATGACAAAGTAATGAGAACATCTAGAAATTTTGTTTTATGAGAAAATTAAAAGAAATTATTTTGGCAGTTAAAGATGAATAGAGTGCTGGGAACAAGCAAAATATTAATCTACCTATTTTAGTGAATAATGCTAAACTTTTTAACGTGTGTGTGTGTGTGTGTGTGTGTAAAGTTGAAGTATTTTCTTATGATTTAAAGTTCATAAGGGTCAACTGAATACTTCCATCTTTTAAATTACTTCCCGTGTTATTGCAGTCTGCTTCATAACATTTGGTTTTATTCATAAACCATGTTACACCTGCATAGAGGATAATTTATTTATTTTCTTCATTTTTTATGACTGGAGAAAGTAAAAGTATTTCAATTTTTTTTCAATTGTAGCAGTGTGTAGGTTAAACTAGTGTATTTATGTCCAAGTTATTTTCTGTGTGGACAATGCATCATAGCTGTTTTAGTGTACCTGCTTCCTGCGTTATCATATTCATCAAAACTAAACTCTGTCGTCATTTTTTCTTATAGAATAATGAGATATTGCATGTATTTAATTCTAATGTTGACTAATGGTAAATTTCCTCATATTGTTACATAGCTCACTGAAATGCAAGCTGAAAGTAGTTATTACAGTCCACAGAAAGTAAAATCCAAAGAAATAATTTGCTGGCAACAAGAAGGAACTACCATTGAGGTAATTTTTCCACTATTTTTGTACAGTGTTAATTTATAGTAGAAATCTTGGCATCAGTAGTTTTTCATCAGTATTATTATTTTCAGCTGGCAGTTACAGTATTGTTTTTATATTTCTCTCTTATTGGACAGTTGTAATTATTGAAAGAAATCCATTTTTAGATTATAGCTATACTCCAGAAATAAGTATTTTCATGTCTTTCCATTACAAGTATCTTTTATTTGATTTTTTTTAAAAAAATTAAATATGGTGAGCCTACATATAAGATAATCCATAGAGCTATTAATTTCACTGTAGTATCCAGGATTGTAAATTAACTGGAAGTCAAAAACATTCCAGAAAAATGCAATGGCAAATCATGTATATTCTGTTTTCAAGAAAACTGAATACTTTTGCCTAATTTTCACCAGAAGTTGAACTCTCTGTGTGTCTTTCTTTTCTTGTTTTATTTATGTATGCATAACTAGGTGCAGGATCCCACTGTAGTTGGAATATTAACCATTGGCCATTGTTTTTATACCACATTAAATTTTCTTCCCAGGCCCTTATGAGAGGAGAACCTTTCTTTAATTGCCAAATAGGATTTGTTGGTTGCCAAGCCTTTTGCCTTAAAGGAATCATGGGAGTTAAAGATTTTGAAGACAACAAGAATAGAAGTGAATCAGTGAGTATAATTTATATTTTATTGGATCACAGACACGCTAATGTGTTAGAAAGCCTGGAAACAGTTTTAGAAATTTGTAAAAGATCCTGATTTAGATCCAGAGTGCCACGTCTTATTCTGAAAGTCAGAACAGGATTTAAGTAGTGCTTTTTAAGTAATAGAAAGTAATTTTAAAACTTTTTAAAATTAGTGACTTAGTGATTTAAGTATCAGTGAGAACAAAAATCCCAATATTGTATATATGTTCAGCTCATGAACACATCTGAAGTCCTTTTTAGGTCCCAGATTAAAAAAAGAAATGGGCAGGACCAGATGTGGGATACACTTACCTTCCCTACTGGTTTTCAAATGTGAGTGCGCGCACACATGCATATAAACACACCTCATCTGCGCATGCACACCACCTTCTGAGCATGCACAGTGCTTGCGCATTACGCTGAGGCAGGTGGGTGGAGCTTTCTGCAGCCGCTGCTACTGGTTTGCTCAAACCGGAGATAACCCGCTGAATACCACCTCTGGCAGTGCCATTCTGGTGTGTGTGTGTGTGTGTGTGTGTGTGTGTAAAGAGAGATGGGGGAAGAATGTAGATTGATAGATATAGGTATAAATATAGATATAAGTATAAATATAGATATAAGTATAGATATAAATATTAGATAGCTATAGTCTGTGTATATACACATACCATAATGATTGGGTCTTCATAACTTTGATCAAAATATTGAAATTATATAATTAATAAATGCTATTAAAGTATTTTTCCCTAAATGTCAATTTCCTGTAGTAAAAGCTCTAGCTGAGTGTGATCTGCTGTAGGAGATGTGGACTGGCTGACCAGAGGGAGGAGTCAAACATGGATTAAGTCTGGTGTCCCTATATGGGCGCAAGAAGTTAAAGAGTGACCTTCCCTGAATGCCATTAAAGTTTATTTAGTCTCACCCTCCTGCACCATCAGTCTGAAAAGATTCCTATGAACAAAAAACCAGCTAGTTGAACTCTTGAGGTGTGGGTCTGGTTGTTTATGCCTGGCATAGATGAGGTAGCATATACAGTATAATGAAGCAATTATATATTTATACAAAATTTAGGACAGAGTTGGTTTAATTTGCAAATAATGAGGTTCGCATCCAAATTTTATTTGCTGCATGGTATTTTGTGATCCTAGTGAGGTATTTTATGAAATTTAAAAGAAAATACAGGTACTCCTCCACTTATGACCACAATGGAGCCCAGAATTTTGGCCATGAGTTGTTGCTGTCATATGTCGAGATAGCACATGACCATACTTGATTATGATATGCTTACAAAAGCATATCACTCAATCACACAGTTGTTAAATTAGTCACATAGTTATTAAACAAAGTCATTCTCTTGAATGCTGTTTTTTTTTTTTTTTTTTTGCCAGAAACT